CCTTGGGTGGTGAAGATATGAGGGCTCAGACTGTGAAATCTCACTGCACTTGGGAGCCAGGATTGAGGTGAGCAGCCAGAAAGAGCCAAGCAACATCAAGAAACCCAGATCAGCCCTGAAAAGGGAGCCCTTGCCTTAGACCCAAAGGACAAGGACTGGAGCCTGAGCTCAGGCCCTGTGGGTGCCTACCCAGCCGTCCTGAGCACATACACATATGTCTTCCACACCCACCCTCTCTCAGGTCCTGGACTCTGCCCTGAATCAGGCCTGGATGCAAGAAAGCCAGAGTGCTACAGTGGCCCCTATAGCAGCAGGATCTTTGCAAGACCCATCGAGGCTGAGGGCAGGCTTGGCCTCACTCTGCTTGGGGCCCTTTAGTGTGGGGGTTTCTGATAATTTCCCTGCAGGCTGCGACTGAAGGTGGCAGAACGCTAGGAGCTTTGCCAACATTCCTGCCAGCCTTATTGACACCAGGGGAGGTACAGCTGGCCTCTGCTCAGCCGCATCCTCTTGGAGGGAATGCATCTGTCCTGACCTGGCTCAGGTGTACTACTGGAAGTATTCTGTGGACCCCCAGCAGGCCATGGGGCCTACAGTGCAGTTGGCTGCAGAGTTCAGGCTCCTAGCTGGGGCTTTTAGGGCAGAGGTAAAGAAATTGAGGCTTATAAAGACTAAACAATTTAGACAAGTTCCCCCAGTTAGGAAGTGGCTGTACTGGAAACCGTGTGGAGCTTTGTCTACTTCTATTGCAGCTACCACTGTGTGCCTTATCCAGGCAGGGCATTTGGAAATTTAAACACCATGAGATGCAGTTCACATCAAAGCATCTTGCTGCTTTTGATACTCATTCTGTGACTTAGGGTAAGTGACTTCACCTCTCTGGGCCCCAGTGTTCTCATCTGTGAAACAGGCATAATAACATCGCCTGCCTTAGAAGGTTGTGAGGATTAAGCCAGACAATTCAGTCCATGGGAGCTTCCAGCAGTTTCTGGCACATAGCCTGAACTATGTAAGTATGGGTTCTCCCATCATCACCATGATCTGTAATTTGCTGGGACTCCTGGACCTCATTGCCTCTAAATTCTTTTCCAATGATGGACATGTTTGGGGAGCTTTTTGTTTTCAGGTTGGCAGACTGGGTCACGAGTGTGTCTGGATACCTCTCATCTTTACCAGGTTGTGGTCATACAATTTGCCTCCTTAAAAAGCAGTCCTGCTTCTGAGAGGGCACAGCCAGCTTTGGGGGCTTTGATTTCTACCCTGCTGGAGGGCTTGAGCCTTGACATTTTTCTGTTTCAACTGTGATTCTCTCTAGTGATGCTCAGAGATGGCCAGATCTCCCAGTCAGTGCAGTGAGATCGTAGACACTTGCGGTGTTCAGTAGAATCAGTGCTGATGGCTTGGGGGATGCAGAAAGGGGTAAACAGTGGTTGCCCTTGGGGAGTTCCAGAAGTTAAGGAAACACCCCAGGCATATTCAGACAGATGGACAGATGGACAGTAAGGTGTCTGCTGTCCCAGAGATTTCACTTGGTTGGCTGTCTCAGCTTTCTTCTCTCTCTGAGAGCAGCTTTGCTGGGGATCTGTTTTCTGGTTAGCCCTTTGAGAAGAAAGACTCGGCTTTGAATTTCTTGGTAGCACCCTTCTGGTCTTGGGCATTGATTGAAATTGGTCCAGACCTTTAGATAGCTTTCCTGCTGCAAATCTTCTTTCGGACAAAGGATTGGTTATTGTTTACTGACTAGTTGTTGAAAGGAAATATGTGATTTCTGGGACCCAGATCACAGTCGGTGCTGCTAGAGGGAACACACAGCACTCCCAGGTATGGATTTTGAGGTATTTTATAGTTTTTGTTGCGTGCCGATCTCTCCTCACTCCTGGGTGTCTTTCATATCTGGAATCTACTCTTTTATCCTCACCACCTTCCAGGCTACTTTAACTTACTGGCTTTTGTAGCCGGGGAGGCAGGAAATGTGTCTGAATCTGTATGTTCCATTATACAGAGGCGGGGCTCCCAGCCACGCTCTGAGCTGACGACTCCCTTCCCCAGATCCTTCAACCCAGCACTGGCTACTGCCTGGCCACCCAGAGGGCACACTATGCAGGCCACCCTGTGCCCTTGAGCACCCTCTACCCCTTTGCTCTGCAGGAGTGAGGGAATGATGGAGGGGCTTCTTTCAAAACAGTCCCTGTCTGCAGGGTGTGGGCCATCCAGATATCATGCAGGTTGGATATTCTGTCTGAGGGTCTGCAGGCCACACACAGCAGGAATCTATTCAGCATCATCTCCTGGGGGACCTGCAGAAGGGGTGGGGAGGACAACTGTATCTGTTCCCATGTGCAATCCCCACTGTCTCTGCAACCTGTGAGATCTCTCTCTCTCTCTCTCTACCTATATACCCTCAGCTTCCTTCCTTCACTCACTGGAAGTTAACCCTTGTATCAATTCAGCTTACTCCTGACTGAAAATGCTGAAAACTTTAATTGTCTGTCTTTCCGTCTACCCAGCATATTCCAGCATCTTCTATATATCAGGCAGTGTGCTTGACTGAGAGATACTTTTAGAAGCAGAGTCCGTCTTCCTCGAGCTTAAAGATCAGCAAAATTACGGCTGGTTTTATAATAATGATGGCTGTATTCATGTCCGCCACCAAGTAAATCGTTGTTCACTACCAGGTGAATCGTTAGCTGGGCTAGGTTAGAGACCTGGTTTCTGTTGAGGAGGAGAGTCCTAGGAAGGTCTTGCAGGAAGGAAATCTCTGGGGAGAAGGGAGAATGGAGGGGCCAACCAGGTAGTCTGGGCCTTTTCATTAGTTAGTGCATTACGTTTTTACAGGGCTCCCACAGGCGGCATCTCACGTGATTATCCTGCCAGGAAGCCTGGAACTAGCACAGCTTGGGTTATCTGGACAGTTTTACAGATGGATAAACTGAGGTACCGAGAGGACACTGTGCCCAGGGTAGCATACCCCTGCATGGCAGAGCACTTCTCACCCCTGAAATCCCCTGTGATTCATTCAGTGGCCACCTGGGCCCGCGATGGGGACCCCACCCCCTGAAGGTCACTGTGAGTCCCATGTCACCAGAAGGAGTTGCTGCTCCAGCCAAGAGGCTCGACTTACAGCATGATCCTTGATGGCAGTGTGAACCATTGCGCTTGTGGGTGAAGAAGATGGTTGTTACTGTGTATTCTGGCCGTTTCTTTCTTCTCAATTTCAAGAGCCAGAAGCTGGTAAAAAGCAACAACAACAAAGGACTGGAGAAACCAGCCCCAGGAATAAGCACACAGTGTAGGTGGGTGTGTATCGTGTGTGCACACGTGTGTGGCTAGTGAGGAATTTGCTGAGAAAAGACAGCTGTCACAGTGCCAGGCTCTGGGTGAATGCTGGCATCTGGACTGGGTGGCTGCCGGCCTCTGGGCTAGGGGCCTCTGAGGGACCTCCTCTGAGGGACCTTCTGGGGTGCCCTTGTCCCTTGGGTCACCACTCAGTAAATGAGATGATTCCGGCCAACTGCCCGCGAGCCCGTTAATAACCATTCTCATCGCCCAGGCAGTCCCCAGAAGTGGATTTACAGCGACATGGTAAAAATGAGGATGCATGATCAATGGATGCCTTGCCGATCTCCTCCAGGAGACACAAATGCATATTGTAACAAAACTTTATTTTCTTCTGAAAATTGCCTACATGATTAATATGGCCTGACATAGCCCAAGCTGTTCAACATAAGAAACGGCCGTATTTCTCGCTCCCTCTTCAGAGGCTCATCCTTCTCACTCCATCCCTTCATTGGTTTCCTTTGTTTTGCTCCCTAACACTTTGTGCCATATATTGTGCAATCTCACTAGGAGAAGAAGGGTGCATTAAAATGCGCGCGTGCCTCAGCCCTCCATTCTACTTCGTTTCTGTTCGGTGTTTCTGATGTGGCTTAAGCTGAAGCATAAATAAAATTCCCTGTTGCCACCTGTGACTGAGCAACGCAGAGCACATTCCCTGGACATTAAATCATCTCTTACATCACCTGGAGCCCTAGAGAGGGTCAAAGCTCTGTGCTCCGGAGTCTAGCCTGGATGAAAAGAATTCTCCTCTTTCATCTCTGTGTTCAGGCATGGGAGGGTTACCTATTTGGAGGGAGGGATGTCAAGCAGGTGGTCCTGGCTCCTGCACCCAGAGAGATTCTAGAAACACTTGTAGAAGAAACTTGGATTCTGTCAGGCAGCAACTTTTACAGGTGGAGATTGTTGACCTGAGTATCTTATTTCTTCTCTTAGAGCATCAGCTCCATGAGAGCAGTGCCTCTAGTCCAGCACTGGATGGATGCTTAGTGGGTTTATAGGAGTCTTCATTTGGCTTCCTTCAGAAGCAGACCCTGAAACAAAGATTTGTGTGCAAGAAGTATATTTGGGAGACGAAGAGAGCACCATCAGGGCAGTGGGGAGTAAGACTGAGAAGAGATGGCACCCCCAAGAGGGCATACTATGCAGATAGCTCTTGTGAGTGATGGGGGCTTAGTCCTACTGGGGGAATTTAGAGTTAACCTGCTCCAGGGAAGAGGGAGCTGGGTATTTGTACATTAATTCCCAGTGTCTTCAGATGAGAGCTTTTGGGGGTGGGGTGATGGCTTAGGTGGCCGCAGAAAAGGTTCCGGGCAAGGAATTGCAGGTGTTGGGGTTGGCAGTTGGCCAGGTGTGCACTGAAGCAAAGGGACACAGATAGGTGATACAGGCAGATACAGGTAGATGTGTGCCCAAGACTGGCAGACTGGCATTGTCCCTTGCTTGTGGAGCGGGTAAATTTGGAGGAAGTGAGACTGAATCCCTTAATGCTGTCCTCCTTGAGTTTTATTCTCCGTTCTTAGCCAACAAGAGTTCCAGAGGGAACCAGTGATTCATGCCATTTGAGGACCGTATGGAGATTCGGTTGAAAAATTGACCAGGTCCAGCTGCAATGCATGTGCCTTTATCCTTCCCTGACTTCACTTTTCTGTTCTCTCCTGCCCAAGGTGTAAGGAGCTCAAGTACTCCAAGGAGCTGCCCCAGATATCCATCATATTTATCTTCGTGAACGAGGCCCTGTCGGTGATCCTGCGGTCAGTGCACAGTGCCGTCAATCACACGCCCACACACCTGCTGAAGGAAATCATTCTAGTGGATGACAACAGTGATGAAGGTATGGGGGCAGCTGGCTTGCACGCAAGGATACGATGTCAGTGGGGGGAATGCCACTCGTGAGCCTGAGCGTCTATGTCTTTTGGTCCTTGGAAAGTATCTGGGGAATGGGAGATGTTTTAGAGGAAGAAGTCTAGGCAAACGCTGATCTGTTATTCCACAAGTCCTCTAGGGCTCTTTAAAAAAAAATTTATCTATTTTAACGATGTGGGGTACCATTCAGAATTAGGTATACAAGAGGTCATTGTACAAGGTAAAGTTTGGGCCTCCCTTTGATCCTCACTTTGGTTTGAGATCAGGTACTCTTATTCATGTTATGTCCCCCCCCCGCCCCCCACCGCCAGCAGTTTCTGGCTACTGCCAATCCCCTTCTTATAGTATTATGGTAAATGTTCAGAGTCTGCTTGTGAGTGAGAATACATGGTACTCAGTTCTTTGATCTGTGCTAAATCACTGAGTAAGATAGACTCTAAATCCATCCAAGTTGCTCGAAGTCCATAATTTTGTTTTCTTTATGGCTGCATAATATTCCATCATGTATATGTACCACATTTTTTTTTATCCAGTTCAATTTTGATGGGCAGCACCGTTGGTTCCATGTTTTTGCTGTTGTAAACAATGCTGCAATAAACATGCATATGTAGGTATCTTTCTTGCGGAGTGATTTAAATTCCTCTGGGTATATTCCCAGGAGGGGGATTGCTGGATCATATGGAAGGTCAGTTTCTAGTTCTTTTAGAAATCACCACACTGTTTTCCATAGAGGTTGAACTAGTTTGCATTCCTACCAACAGTGTAGAAGTGTTCCTTTTTCTTTCCATCCTTGCCAGCACCTGTTGTTGTTTGTTTTATTAATGATGGCCATTTTATAGGAGTTAGGTGGTATCTCAGTGTGGTTTTGATTTGCATTTCTCTGATGATGAGCTAGACTGAGCATTTTTTCATGTGTCTGTTGGCTGCTCATATGTCTTCTTTTGAGAAGTGCACAGAATGGGAAAAAATATTTGCCAACTGTGTATCTGACAAAGGCCTAACATCCAGAATCTACAGGGAACTTAAACATGCCAAAAGGAAAGGAAAAAGAAACAGCCCCATTAAAGAGTAGGCTGTAGGACTCTTAAGAATCAATTACTGGTCAAGGATCTAGATTAATTTCTCCTTTCATGTTACCTAAAGGAGAAGACGTTGAAAGGCTGAACTCTTTCCCAACTCCCCGCCCCATCATCTCCATTGCCCTTTTCCAAGAGGTGAAAGAAAAAATTCTGTCCATCTCACGTCAGAATTCCCCTCTTGGCCACTGTGCCCAGATGACTGCGGGAAGAAATGAGTGGTGTTTGCCAGACCTTTGGAACTCAACTCTGCTGGGAATGATGGCTCAGTTATAAATATAACACAAGTAAATATTGGCTGGCAGCAACAAAACTCCTTGGAGGGCCTTGGAGACAGTGGGAGGAAGTTGTGGTAGCAAGGTGTGATGCGGGTTGGACTCGCTAATTTTGTCTTTGTGTTGGCTCCCAGCCTGTAAAATTCATGGTGCTCATTGCAGGGAGCAACCCCCACAAGCTCATGAGCTAAAAAGCAAGCCAGCACGAGAGGGTGCCTGAAGGCCAAGGAGGCTTATCTTCTGAGCAACTACAGGATTAAGATTAGGTTAAACCCTTGCTGAGTAGAAAAAGGATTACCCCCGTGAACTGCTCCCGCAGCAGGAAGATGGCAAGGAGGAGGCATCACCACAGGTCCTGTTGAAATCCTGATTATCTTCAGGAGCATGGGGATGGGCTCCTCCTACTTAATCAGCCTGGGAGCTGAAGTCCCCCTGCCCCTTCTGAACCAAATGACTCTTCTGAAGGACTTGAATGTACCTGGGCCCAGCAATCTGCCTTTTCCAGGACCTCTAGTTTTCAAAGATGGGTCATTTGGTGGATTTTCCACATCCCTAGTTTTCTCCCTTTACCGTTGGCCATTTCATGACCTTCTAAACCTGACAGTGAAAGACTTCTTGTGAGGAAGAGTTTCCTTCAGTTTCTAGAAGCTTCTAAGTCTGCAGCAAAGCCTCTCCCCTTGACATATCCACTATCCAGAGCTCCTTTCTCTGTGGTCCCTTTGAGCTCTCACCGCAGACCCTTTTCATCAGCAGCAAGAACTCCCTGCTCCTTCTGCCCTCTTCATCTGCTTGCTAGGTCCTACTCATTCTGCAGCTGTCCTCAGAGAAGCATTGGCTGGCCTCCTAAGGCTCTTGTCCTGTGCTATCAGCACCATGCTGCCTACTATACAACTGGACAGCCCTGAGCTGGGCAGGACCTTGTTTTCTAAGACCTGTCTGGTAGTTGACCCTTGGTAAGTTTCTCCCAGTGAGGGAGTGTACAATGAAACCAGGCGGGGCTGAGAAAGGGCAGGCAGGAACCAGTGAAAGAGGGGCTGGAGGGGTCCTAGAGCTGGAACACCCAGAGAGGAGTGTGAGCTGAAGGTTGGGCTGAATTGGGGTGAGAACTCACTGCTGGTAGTGTTCTTGGCAGAGCCCAGCCAGAGGAGGAGGAATGGAATTCAAGTCCACCAGAACTCCAGCTCTGTGACAACAGGGTCTCTGGTACAAGACTGAGCACTCAGTGGGCTTCACAGGTGCCTTAGTTTGGGTTTCTCCAGAAGCTGACCTTAAAACAAAGACTGGGGTGCAAGTAATTTATTTGGGAGGGTGAAGACAGCACCAGCAGCAGAGTGGGGAAGTAAGATTGTGAAGTGAGGGCATCCCATAAAGATGGGTACTGTGGGTGATGGAGCTTAATCCCACTGGGGAGACTCTGGGAGCCAGAATAATCCCAAGACCCAGGTAACTCACTTCAAGATTGAAAGACTGAGGGAGCTGGGATATTTATATACCTTTAGCATAAGATGCTTTTATGTCAGACCTCCTGGAGCTCTGCCCCAGAGGAAGATCTGCTTCAGGAGGTCTGGTGTAGGGCTGAGAATTTACATTTCTCATAAGCTTCCAGGTGATCTTGCTGTTGCTGGTGCGGGAAACACACTTTGAGAACCACTGGGTTAAAAACAACCAAACCTTGAGCCTGGTCTATAAGTCCCATTTCAATGGTTCACATTTCAGGTTTACATGACGATGGTTAGCAGTTGAGGAAAACAGAGGAGGAAGTTTTTGGTTAAGTCAGACCATAAATTAATTTCCTTTCATCTTCCTCTTTCTCTTCCAAAACCTAGGGGACCATGAGTTGACTATATTAACACCATTTCCCTCTTTCTGTTCTCTGATTCTATTCCTTAGATTTTCCCCAGGCCAGAATCTCCTTCTCTTCAACTGAAAGAGGAATTTAGTATTTTTTATTTTATTGAGATGTTCTTTGTAACTAGTGTTATTGAGCTTTGTAAATGTTCTACATCTACTTGAAAAGACCCCCACACATAGTAATCATGGAATTGAATTCCTGCCAGACATCAATTTTGTATATTTAGGTAGACTATGAGTTTATTTTCTTAAGTCTTTTTGATAATGGTATTTTAAAATCTCCTCCTACAATGCCTATTCCTTCCTGTGTTCCTAATAATGTTTGATTTCCATATCTTGTTGTCAGTTTCTTTGGCAGCTATAGATTTGTATCTCCATGCCTTCATTAATAGCAGTGGTTGTTACCGTTAGGTAATACTTTCTTTATGTTAAAAGCATACTCTTTTTTTTTTGCCCTGAATTTAGTTCTTCAAACATTAATATTGTTATCCCTGCTTGCCTTCTGTTCAAGTTTGATTAAAACATTTTTTTTCCAGCCTTACAATTTTGTTTTTCGATCTTAAAAGCAATACATGCTCTTTGTCAGAAAATTTGAATGTCTCAAAAAGCAAATATAATTGGAAAAAACAAATACTGAAGAGACTAACCAGAGGCAACTGCTCATTTGCCCATGTCCTCACCCTCTTTTTTAATGCACATTTTACATAACTAAGATCTTATAGTATAAACAAATTAATGTTCTGCTTTTTTCCCCTGAAGTGTAAAGCATAATCAGTGCCCTTTTTATTTAAAAAGCTCTGCAAACATCATTTTAATGAGGGCAGAATGGTCCGTTCTCAGGCTATACTATATATGCCCTGGTCAAGACAGGCTCAGGGAAGGATAAACAATGCCAGTGGACTCTGAATGCCCGTAGTTCCAGCTACTTGAAAGGCTGAGGAGGAAGGATCGCTGGAGCCCAGCAGGTCGAGGCTGCGGTGGCCAGGAGTGTGCCACTGCACTCCAGTCTGGGCACCAGGCGAGGTGGGACTGCAGAATCCTCCTTGTTAGGATGTTTTCATTTGAAGTCATTTGTTTCATTCAGCTTGAATATTGACACTGGCCTACGTTAAGCCAAAATATGCTACAATTCTTTGTATTCCCTACATCAAACTGAAATCACCCAGGCAAAGTTTTCCAGACATCACTACTTACCAAACCCAGTGGGCACTTTTCTGCCTGTCTTTTGACCACATCTGACATTGTTGGCACTTTCCTTGATGTTATGTTTCTCCTCTGAGTGCCCTGACACCATTATGTTCTGATTCTCCTTTAACCTTTTTGCAGCTGTTTCTTCTCTTCCTTGGCATCTTAGTACCGTACTGTGTTGCCACAAAGAATCACCTGTGGCTGGGTAATTTCTAAATGACAGAGGTTTATTTGGCTCCTGATTCTGCAAGCTATATAAGAAGCATGGTGCCAGCATCTGCTTCTGGTGAGGGCCTCAGGGAGTTTCCACTCTTGGCAGAAGGGGAAGGGGAACAAGCGTGGCCTGGAAGAAGGTAAGAGACAGTGAGGAGGAGGTGCCAAGCTCTTTTTAACAATTAGATCTCACTGGAAGTAAGAGTGAGAACTCACTCAGTCCTGCAAGAATGACTCAAAGCCATTCATGAGGGATCTGCCCCCACGATCCAAACATCTTCCACTGTACCCTACCTCCAATGCTGGGGGTCAGATTTCAGTATGAGATTTGAAGGAACCAAATAGCCAAACTATACTACTTGGCG